TTTCTTCCTGTGCCAGCCTCCTAGAGTTTGGGGTGGGGGTTAACAACAGAGCACGGCAAAAGGATTAAATATTTTGGTATCTAAATTGGAAGTCATATGCACATGCACGCATGCACACACACAGGAATGTGGAATAATAGCCCTATGGCATTGGGACAGATAAACATGTTCACTTCTTTTCAATAATCAAGGGACTTTTTGAATTCACTTCAGTGCTGGGGAGGGAAGCTTCAGAACACAAAACAGAAATTAAGCAAATGTTTGTAAAATGGTGGACCATTGCCACAGAAAAAAGGAAACTCATGCTAACCACTTCTAAATAAAATGCTACATAAGTGCTTAAGCCATTCAGTAGGGAAGTACAATGTCTATTTTGAAAATTTTATAAAGTGGTGTGAACACAGTGAGAGGGAGAGCTTCTCCATTTGGTCTTCAGAAGGAAGAAGAAACCTGGGTTAAATCTCCATCCTTAACAAATCAGCATTGCTTTAAAAGCTGGTAACACCAATCATCTGATCAGTGGATATACATAGTCTCAATCCAGCAATGGGAATAGTGGGCATAATCACTGGTTGCTGAATGTGGGATTATTTACTTGTGATAAACATACTTGATAGTTGTCCATATACTCCTGCTTCTTGTCTTTGGACTGCTATGTGTTAACTTGGGGGTATAGCTTGGGGGTGTTCCTGGACCCAAGCCTCCTGTTGCATAAACTGGTGGCAGTGGTGGCCAGGGGTGCCTTTCACTAGCTTCTGCTTGTGTGCCAGTTGCAGCCCTTCCTGGGCAGGAAAGAGCTTGCCACAGTGGTGCATGCCCTGGAAACATCTAGATTAGATTACTGCAATGTGCTGTATGTAGGGCTGCCCTTGAAGACTATCAAGCAGTGGCAGTTGGTGTAGAATGCTGCAGTCAGAATGTTGACTGGAGTGGGTCATAGGGACCATATCACTCCAGTCTTGTTCCAGCTACACTGGCTCCCAACTTGCCTCCTGGCTCAATTCAAGGTGCTGGTATTGACCTTTAAATCCCCATATGGCCTGGAATCAACATACCTTAAGGACTACCTTCTCCCATATGAACCTGTCCATTTATTCTGATCATCTTCGGAGGCCCTGCTTCAGTTCCCTTGAGGGGAAGGGAAAGGAGCTTGTAAGCCACTCTGAGACTCGAAGTGCAGGGCGGGATATAAATCCAATCTCTTCTTCTTCTTCTTCTTTAAAGGGTGACAACCTGAGACAGACTTTCTTGGTTGTGGTGCCAAAACTTTGAAACTCCCTCCCCAGGGAGACTTGTCTGTTTTCCTCTATTGATGCCTTCTGCCAGCAGATGAAGACTTTATTTTATTTGGCATATCCCCAGTAATGGTTATTAGCTCCTTCCTGCTTCTGATGCTGTATGTTTATGTGTTTTATTGAATTATTTTTATAATTTTAAATGTTGTTTTTGATTGGTTTAATGTTTAAGGGGGAACCATGATCAGGTGGAAAGGTGGCATAACAATGTTTTGAGTAAAATAAACCAATGCATAGAAACAAGACAACAAGAGGACTTTCTTTCTGCTTGCTTGTCCTCCAGCCCAATCCAAGAAGGTAGTAAGTTATTTCCAGTTCCTGGCAATCAAGATCTAAACAAACCCATCCGAGTTTTGTTTGGAATGTAGCTTAAATATTTCTTGCCTGAGAATATGGCAACACCTGCATGCAAGCAGTAAAGAATGTTAGCCTGCAAGGTTGAAGTTATGAGGAGAGTCCGATGAAAGCAGAAGCTTTCAGCAAAGGGGATTCTTAAAGGGTGCTTCATAAAACAAAAGTATTTGTAGATTGAACTGAATTTTGTTTACTAACCACTTTTCATAGCCTTTAAACACTGCATAGCCTTTAAACACTTTAAACACTTTCATAGCCTTTAAACACTGCACAGATTTTCCAGCGTGAGGCTTACAACTCATCTGTTGCTAGAAGGAAGAAAGAGAAGACATCGAAGCCTCCCTGGCCCCTCCTTCCCCCAAAGCCTAATGCCATTTTTTAAAATGGGTAGTACCGTTGGCTTTTGGCCACAGAGTCTTTAGCTGCAGGGTACTAATTATATTGGGGAGAAAAGTGAATTCAAGAATGGATAAGGTGGCATTCTGCCCAGCTGAAATCTATAAAGGCAGTCTAGCTGGAAAAGAGAAGCACAAATTAAATGCTGGACCATCAGTAAAAATGCCACACTTAGTTTTATAACATAATTGCGTGCTTTATTGATATACACAGTAAAGCAGTATATAATACAATAAGTAAGGCATATATTTGGTGAAATCTGATATGTTGTGAAAAATGCAGAGAAACTGAAGTTTATAAAAATAATTAGTAAATGTTACAGTGTTGTTGTTAAAACACAATATATTATGATACCCAAGTAATAAACCAGTACTGGATAATAATGGTATAACATGCCAGGTGATGTTATTCAGTTACACTGATGATGCTTTGCTGTTCTATAATTGGTGGATATAAGGAACATGAAATAATTCCCCCAAAATGCTTAAAAAGCAGCAATAAAGCTCTTCAACTCTTTAAATATTTTGACAGACACACTTCAAAACTAATGTCTATGAAGAAAAAAACCCAAAAATCCTGATGAAAACTATCGTGCACTCCATTAGTTTCCAATTTTAAATGAGAATTTTCAACTTAAAAACACAAAAAGAAAGAAAGATTCACTTCTGTATATCTTCATTTGTACTTTCCTGAAGAAAGGCCATGAGAGTATACAGGGTGCACATTTTAACTAAAAAGCATGATCTCTCCTAGTGCAGGTGGAGAGCCTGCACATGGTGGGGTTGATATAATGGTGTGTTAATTTAGAAGACCTCTGTGCTTAGTCTGAGATGCCCAAGACTATTTTGCACAACCTTTTGTCTGAGTTGATGATAGCGTGTCACTATTTTGCCGAAAGCTGATCTTGTGTATTGTGGAAGATGGATTTTGGTTTACTATACCTTTCCAATTTATTATTCCTTTTATTTTGCTGGTTCATCTGATGGTTTTTACGGTGGCTGTATTTTATTGATGATGCATTTTAATTGCCTAATTATAAACTGCTTTAAGCATATTGAAAAGCAGGACACACTATTTAAATAAAATGTTTCAATCCCATCTGTGCTTGAGGCCTTTGCACCCAGACAAAAGAGACAAGCTAGACGAGGATAGTGGAGTAAACACTGATCTCCTGTTCTTGGTAATGGCCCAGGTGCTGTAGTTAGTGCATTAGGGCGTGTGCATTTCTGCACACACACACGGAAGCAACAGGGCTATTTTTACTCCTATGCCAATTTCACCATGTGCAGGCAATGTGCTGCCACTGGGATAGACTTACCCAATGTTTGAAGAAGCTCTTATGAAAAATGGAGGTTTGGGACTTCTGCAAGTTATTTACTTTTCTTCTTGTTGTTGTTTTAAATTTATTGTTGTTAAAATGATGATCTGTTTACACATTGGACAAGTGGTGATGATGTAATATCTTCTGTACATAACTGTCAGGAACACCACAAAACCAAAGTGAGGTAGAAATAACATGACTACCCATGTTTAATGTTAACTAGCATTAAAAATAAAATAATTTTTTTTTCCGAGTTTAATTACATTTCGTACAAGAAGAGGTAACAGATTTTACTCTTGCAAAATGTTAATGTGAATTAGATGGTGAAATTCTATTGGGTGTCAATGGAATTAAAGATTAATGGAAGGAAATGAAATGGTAAAGCTTTTGTTAACAGCACCTCAAAATTCTAGAGTAGTAAACCTGAGGAGCTGTTATTGAAAATCTATTTTCTGTTATCCCTCTCCTGAGTCATTGTTAATTGTGCGATATTACTTGTAGAAAGAGACAGGGAGCAAAAGGTTTCTGGGGACAGTTGGATGACCAACTCAAGAAGCACTGTGGCTACTTTCAGCTCCCCAATGGACAGGAGCCAATAGGATTACTCCACACTGTTTCCTGTTGCTTGATTGAAATGCTGTGGCTCCTTGGAATTTGCAGCAAGGCAGATTTATAGCGGTCTTTTGTTTTTAAGAGACAGGGGTAAGTTTCAATGCTTATTGTTATAAAAATTTAAATAATAGTAATGACTAATCCAACTCATGATTCAGGCTGGAAGCAGATCACTGCCTGTAGTCAGAAGGAGATATTTTTTTCCAAGCCCCACATGCAGAGATGCAGGGTCTCTCTCAAGGGTGGCATTACAGGGCAGAAAGCAAATTGGGCTTCTATTTTGAAGCATTAAGGTGCTGGCCAGTGCCACAGGCAGATACCGGACAATAAAGTCCAAAGGGATAATCCGGTAAGGCAATTCCTATTTTGTATTTATTAACAACATTTGGGTTCATAGCAGTGGAGGAAACAGCAGGAGCATAGAATACTGATTCAATTTGTCTTTTTATTTTTGCAAGCTCTGAAGATAACATTGTCATGTAATGTGCTCTTTCGTATTATTGCCAACTAGCTGGATAATTCCAATAAGATTTCATTCTACTTGGAAGGAGGTGGAAAAGTGACCTCAACTGGAAGTTCACAAAAAGACTTTTTTTTTAAAGCCAGCTGCTAGTCAGACACAAATAATGAAACATGTCAATTGTTTTGGTGTTGCACAAACTCTCTCTTTGATATATAAGGAAAAGAACACAGAACATGAATATCCATCTGGTACAATTACAGAGCTAGAGTGATGCTAAACAAATGCACTGCCTCATTTTTTTTGTTTTTTAAAGGGATTTATATAAACAATTTTTTAATAAAGCACACTTTGTTTACAATCTTTCTTTATAATTGTTATAAATTTTTAAACAACCCAAAATGCGTTCCATATAAAGAAATGGCAAGTTATTTAGCTATCAAGATTTTACATGTATTTTTCTTTTTTTTGTACAATTGCATAGACGTGTAAAACCTGCCATTGTTAACAAAACAATAACAGACTTAAGAAACTACTGAAATCTACAGTATAGTACCACTACCCTTCACAAAAATATAGATTTGTTTTCTTGTAAACTCTTACAGTCTAATCCTTTGTCATATGAATATTATAAAAACCATGCGGGGACGCCTGAAGTTGTAAAACGCATCTTGCTATTCTAACACCTTGTCATCAGTCATCACGGTAACTAAGGTTTCCATTGCTCGGCCCAAGTCATCTGCCATGTGGAAAAGGCTGCCTACATTGTGGCCTGTAAAACAAAGGAAAAGGAGAGAATGAAAGTGCACTGTGCCTAGCACACATTATACATCAACAATCAGGTATTTTGAAGTAAAGATGCATTTCCCATGCAAAGGCAATCGTCAAACTATTTTGTGTCCTTTGACACTGCACGGACACGAGTAAAGCTGAGTGTAACTTGCAGAGAGGTTTTTAGGCAGCAGCACACTTGAGTTTTAAAATGACAGATAGGGCAAATCAGTTTCAAAGGCACATGCATGAAAACCCTTGGCAGAAACTCCAAAATCAAACATGAACATGAAAGAATTTGCTGCACAAATGTTTGTAAATGAATCAATTAAAGTATGTAACAGCTAACTTGATCAATCATAATCAACCACACAGCTTGACTGGGGAACTTGCCAGAACCCTAATTGATGTTAATGAGAGTAATGTCCTGAGGAAAGCCTCCATTGGTAACCAAAATTAATGCTATACAATCCTACATACATTCACAGAATCTCTTAAACTACTTTATCTGAAGAAGTATCTGATGAAGGGTGCTTTGACTCTTGAAAGCCCATACCCTGAAATGCCAGTTGATCTTTAAGTTGCTACTGGATTTGAATCTAGCTCTCTTAAAAAAATATTTATGAATTAAAAGAATCTGGCTTATATAACTGCCTTTGGCAAGTGAGAAAGAAAAGCTGAGCACGTGAGATTGTTGTTTTGCAGTACGATTCTTTTTGTTTGTTTTTTGAACTTCTTAGTTAGATGGTAGTTTATTTCAAACTAGAAAGGACAGATCAGAAAAGTAAAATCCAGAAAGGGAGATGGACCAACTATAGAAAACTACAATTGGGCACTCAAGAAGCATGAAGAAGCTATTTTGGGGTGCATGTATAGAGATTTTTATTCAGTCAAAGGCATGTTTGGTGTGTTGATCTCTTCATGAGACTGTCACATGACTCTGGTCATTTGATAAAGACAGCAGTGACTATAAGGCCAGCAGGCACTACCTAGACTTTATTATCAACCGTGTAATAAATACAAATGATACTGATACAAGATTTGCTCTACCAACTTCATACCTGTTATTTTCTATAAGATATCATATGTTATGGTTTAGTGCTAAACTGGGAACAGAAGATGCTCATATTTTGAGTTGTCATTTCTTCATGGTAATTTTTTCAAGTCAACAGTGTTTCTCTCCCACCCTACACTTAGGCCTGGTTATCACTTGCTCGCTCTAATTTTATGCTGACCTGTGAATAGGTAAGACTAGAACACAGTAACTTGGTCAGGATTGCCTTACTAGAAATGCGTACTCAGATACACTCAAGCCAAAAAGATCCCAAATACTCCCAAATTCCAGGAATAATGAAAGTTTATCTTCTGGGATTTTGGAAGGGTTTCAGGACTCAAGAACAAAAGAAAGAATGAATGAATGAAAGAAAGAAAGAATATGAGAGAGAGAGAGAGAGAGAGAGAGAGAGAGAGAGAGAGAGAGAGAGAGATGGTCCATCAAACAGCTGTTACTCTGTACCTTCCTCTCTTTCCATTTTAAAAGGCCACTGTTTTCTATGGGAACAGCTGGCATCTAAAGTCCTTTAAAATGTAAAGGGCCATTATTTTATATGATTTCAGAGGCCAGGTGTTTCCATAGAAAATAATACCATAAAATAAAATGTGTAGGGAGGTAGAAGCTGCTGAACAGCTCTTATCACAATACCATCTTTCTCTACCTCCCTGTTCCTGATACCTCTGGAAGTGGTGGTAAAGTAATAAGGGGCAATCGCTAAACTGGTCCTGAATATTTGGGAACTGAAGAAAAAAGCTGAAAAAAGATCATGAAATGGTAAGGAGAATCCAAAAAAATCAGGATAAAGAAAAGCATCAAATGTTTGATGTACACACCCCCTATGCCAGGTAAGGATTTTAATGTTATTACCAATATATTCATGGCACCAGAAAAAACTAAGAATAAACCACTAAACCCAAAACTTTCCTCAAAAGACCAAAACTCAAGGATGATCTTCAGGGCCCTATATTGTACTATATCCAGTCTAAGAATTAATCCACCCCAGTAGAAGGATTATGAATTAGATTAAGAATCTTTTCCTTGGAGATCAGTTAACCAGAGTATGGGTAATAGCCATTTAATAATTCGGTAGAGACTAGCACTACTGCAGTCTCTTTTTGTAGATACAGCATACAAAGATTCTGTGTTAAACTGGCCCCCTTCACAAGTAATATGTTCTCACAGGTGTTATTTTGCATTTTCAATACTGATAAATAGTTCAACCCCCTGAAATCACTCCCCAAACCCAAATTACACACAAGCTTAGATCAGTTCTGAAAAATAATAAATATTAAGAGACTGTATTTATGTGACATGCTCATATAGCATGGAACACAAAAGGCTTTAACAGCATCAGGGTTTTTTTTTGTGATTTGGGTAGTTTGCTGAATTTCAAAATTGTGATTACTTATTTTTCATGTTCTTTCATTCTTTCCCCCTCCCCATTACTTTTGAAAAATGGTAACTTTCCCCCTTTTTCTGCCTACCCTGAAATACATTGTGGAGGGAGGGAAATGCTCTATAGTCAAATTTCTGAATATTAACCCACCATATAAAATGCTTCTTGTTGACCAGGGCCAGCTCTCAAATGAGGCTAGATAAGGCAGTGACCTCAGATGATGGACTGCGGGGAATCCTTATGTGTTTTTACCACCATCCTTGACATACCCCCTACCTTTTCTGCTGCCTCTGCCCCCATGCCTGTCCCCTGCATCAGAGCAACTACTGCTCCTTCCCTGCTCACTCCGATAAGGTGGCTTTATGTTTGAAGACACATGTGGAATGGAGAAGGAAGGAGTACTATGTGCTCCATGCAGAGGTGGTGGGCAGAGGCAGTAACCTCAGATGGTATCACTTGTCAAGTCATCACTGCTGTTGACTCCGATAATCCTGTGATCCAGATTCAGTGTATATTCAGACACACATGGCTGTATTATATCTCCATTCAAAGCCTTCCCTCCAGTGTTGACTGTAGGATACACACCATGTCGGAAATATAACGTACACTATGATGAAGCCTGCATGTCTTTTTTATTTTGATTATACCCATTTGGAAGTTATCCTGTACCATTACTTCCAGTATTCCCACGCTTTTCAGAATCACAGCATGTCCATTTGTCTATATTCTTCATGTAGGAAAATTTGTTGTTTTGATTGTTTTGAATCTGAAGAACCCACACATGGGAATGTACAGAAACCATGAAAAAAAGAGAGGAATATATGCAGTATGATAGAAAGCGCAGGTAAGATTAAAGTGGCACAACGAACTAAGACTGATTACTTGAGGACTACTATGTTGACTCCTCAAATAAGTAAACCCCATTCAATAGAGTAGAATAGGATTCCACATAGATATGCTTAGGACTGCTCTCTAAATGACTCACTGACAGAGTTTTAAAAATTATTTTAAGGAACACATGAAAACATAAATATATTAGCTGTCCCACATATAACTAGCAGTTTCTACAACTCCAAAACTCTTGTTTTGTCAATTTTTTAAAAATAGCTAGGAGGTATTTTTGAAATATTGGCTTGAGAAGCGCTTTTTGAATAAAAAGGGAATGTAATAGATTTCATTTACAATTATTTAATATAATTGTAGGCAAATGGATGAAAAAAAGTGGGTTTATATCTGACCTTCACCCATGATACAGCCCTGGAATTCACTTCCTGAGGGTTAAGGAACTCTGATTTTGGAGGGGTTCCTCCAGTAGCGTGGCACCTTTGGACGCAACTCAGTATTTTAGAACACTGTTCCTGTAGTCATTTTTCCCTAATACTCTAAAGTCAAAGAGCTTGTCTACTTTAGGGCTTATTCAGATAGAATCCATTTTAGGATCTTTTTCACCAGAGGTGATCAAATTGCTTCAGTAGTCACTGGCCTTTTACTAGTCCACAGATAGCCCATTGCTCATACATACATTTATTTATAAAATTTATACCCTGGCTTTCTGCTTTTATCAGGGCCACCAAGGTAACTAACATATTAAAGGCATACATAATAAACACACACATTAAAACATTAAAACCAAACAAAAACAATTAAAACCAAGGTAATATGCACATACAAAACCACAAAAGAACTAAAACACCGCTAAACACTGTTTACTCACTGCTCCCACTAAGTTTAATTAGACTTACTTCCTGGTAAGTATGCTTAAAATCACAGCAATTCATGTTTTAAATGTGCAAAAGTATCTGACGAAATCATTATATCATTATATTCATACTTAAGCACAATTATTAAAATACCAGAATTTGGTCTATAAGACCAACTGTTTTCTTATTTTGTTTGGCACTATTTGGGTTAGAATCAAGATCATTGCCATACCTCTACTCTAGAGCACTACCTGAATTTTCCATCTTTACTCACAGGAACATAAGAAGAATCCTGCTGGATCAGATCAGTGGTCCATTTGAGTCCAGCATAATGCATCACACAATGACTAACCAGTTACTCTGAAAGGCCAACACAAGACACAGAGTCCAAGGTCCATCCCTGCTTTTAGATCTATGTCTTACTGCCTCTGAATGTGGTGGTCCCTTCAGTCTCTATGGCTAGTAGCCAGTGACTGAATCTGTCTCATCTTTTAAAGTCATCTATAGTATTATTGTTATTATTATTGTTATTGTTGTTATTATTATTATTATTATTATTAAGTTGACCACCTTTTATAGGTAAAACTTTTTACCTATGAAGAACAATTTTACATTCAAATACCTTGCAAATAGCTTGAGATTATTTCTAGTCCAGTAACAGCAGAGAAATTATCCTTCTAGAAGTGGATAGATTCATGGAAATTTGTTATCAGCATCTTTAGTCTTGATTTCCAAAGACTGCAAATGATTTTATCTAGCTATAATGTGACGGCTAACTTAAACGACACTTTAAGAACCATTTACAACCTTACTACATGTATCACAAAGCAAAACATTTTTGTTTTATGGATGTAGGATTAGAAAAGAGTCCAGTAGCACCTTAAAGACTAACACAATTTGTGGTAGGGTATGAGCTTTCGTGAGTCACTGCTCACTTCTTCAGTGACTTACAAAAGCATATACCCTACCTGCAATATTGTTAATCTTTAAGGTGCTACTGGACTTTTACTCTTTTCTTCTGCTACAGATAGATTAACATGGCTACCCACCTAGATGTAGGATTGAAAATGAGATGAAGAAATTTGCCTGCAGCCTCCCAGAGCAGTCTGTAGCTGAGCTGGATTTAAATCTACAACTCCCAGGATTAAAATCCAGTACACTAGACCACACCGGTTCACAAACATACTTAAATTCAGCGCTGTGGAGTTCATAGGTGTTAGTGACATTCTGCTAGTGCAATGCTGAGCTTGCAAGCTAAAGTAATATATTATTTATACCTCTCAACTTCTATTTTCTAGTAGAACAAAGCAGGTTTCTATCATTTTTTGAGGAATAAATTTGTAGCCAAAAATGTGACATGGTCAAAGGCAAATTATCACTTCCCAACATAAAAAATATTTTAAAAAGAAAAATATTTAAAAAAAGAAATATGATTTCATATTTGTCACCCTTTTAGAAGGTCAACTGGCACTGTGCATTCCTCCAACCTCTAAGCTTTTATGTTCACTGAAAGTTGAGAGGTATTGTGTGTTAGAGTATACCTGTGCAATGTACCTAGCAACACACATGCTGAGCCATCAATGCCAGACAAAATAATGCAGCAAACAAGAAGCTATTGCAGTGGGCATCAGGCTCACTAACCTCTCTCACTGGCTTTCCAGGGTCATTTCCTCCTTTAGTAACAGAAGTAGATGTATCAAAAAGAAAAGAGGGAAAACACACACACACACACACACACAAATATAGAAGAACTTCAGTGTTCATTCTGGAACTGAATACAGAACAGACAACTTTGTAAAAATGAACTAAAAGTTCTACAATGTGTGGAATTGCTCCTTGTAGTTCACCCAGGCAACTATATTCATACCAGTTCTTTTCAGGTTGAAGTGTAGATAGTTAATAAAAGTTATTGATCACCTTATTTCTTGGGAAGAGCAATATATCAAGTGAATATATCAGGTTTGTTTGCCTTGATTCTTTTGCTTTAGCAATCGACATTTGTGCAAAATCCCCCAGTGTAATCCGGAAGTACTCCAATTGCCATTGCTAAGAATGATCCAACTTAGTTCCCTTCCATACTCAGAAATACCCAAACACTTTGATACATTCTCAATGACCTATTAAAAACAAAAACGATATCCAAACACAACTTGATCTTGAATGATCTTTAATGCAATCATATGCAGAGTCACTACAGTTTAAGACCATTGAAATCTGCACAGGATAGCACTGTAAATTATCTAAAGAATTCTACTGCTTCCCTGCCAGCTTAGGACTGATAAATCCATATGCAAACACAGTGCCCCACATCAAGGAAAAATGTAGCTGTCTTGCCTTTCTGAATATGGGACAATGGGATAGCCAAGAGGCAAACCTCGATATAGTAGACAAACAAAGTTGTACCAATATTTGTTCAATTAAATCTCCTTATCACAGTCCAACACTCTTGCTCACATACCATGGAGGTTTTCAAGACGTATTGCTATACTGTTTGTTAAACAGATCGTTCCTCTCTTTGGAATTATACTTTCCCACTAAGGCTTCTTAATAATGACAGCAACGCTGTGGTTAGTTAAGCATAGTTTTTCATTTTCTTTTCTGAAAAACCACATATTGGTTGTAGCATTTATTTTCTTAATTTTTGAAAAAATGGGGAAGAGAGATGGAGCAATGTGGGGTTGCAGTTTGTTCTGTTTTATCTTCAAGGACATTTCTTCAGTTATTAACAGCATAGTCAAAGAATGGAACAGGTAGAAATGTGCTCTTAAGTATTTCTCTTACATGTCTGTAAATCTGTGCACTACTCACAGTGAAATAAACACACAGGGTACTACTTACTCAAATGTTTCTCAATGAAAGACAACAAGAAAGCAGTTACTTGATAAACTGAGATTTAAGCATACTTCACAAATATTCTGTCCTGAGGAATACAAAATAAACATTCCACTTCTGTTCTCTCAGTCAGCTGTGCAATAAATTCTGTACAGATGTGGACCTTGATCAAATTAATAATCTTATATTTTAATCAAATGTCTACTACAGTAGCCCTGACATGTAGAGAGCTCTGTGGGACAGATCTGCTTATCTTTACCAGAACAACAATTAATAAATATAAAAGCAACCTTTGGTTCAGTGTTCATACCAAAGATCTTCAACCAAGCTCAACTCACCTACTGAGATCTAACAGGGAAATATTGGTCTTCTTTCAAACTTCTCATACGTCTTTCAAAACTGCGATTTTTCATATGTGAAGCAATTACCACTGAATACTGTACAGCTGCATATATATGTAATTGAACACAGTTTTCAGCAGCCAATTCCCATTAGAAATTCCTACAGATAGTTTCCAGCAGTGAATACATAAACATCTAATTGTAATTAGGCAAACAGGATTCCCCCCAGTGGAACCTCCCCAATCCACCATGGGTCCTGTTTGCGGTCCTGCGTGACAGGTGAGCCAGTGGGGCAATGGGCGGCTACGGTGGTCACATCCTGCAAGGCAGGATGGGCTGTGCAGGCAGCTTGGGGGCTGGGCAGCAGCAGGAAAACCTGGCCCTGAACTGGGCCTGGGGGAGGGGGGAGGGGAGGGAACACAGGGGGGAAAGTGCACTAAGCCACGTGGCCACCTCACCTGGCCACGTGGACTTGCTTGCCCTCCCATCCCTTCCTATGTGTTAGTGCTTAAGGGGAAGAAGAACGGTGGGGTTTGCAGGTAGCCTTACAAAGGGGGGGGGTTACATTATGGGGAAGCATGGGTTATGTTCCTGTTCACAATGTTTTCTGCTTCATTTATTTGTCACACCCTTAGGGCAGTATCAGCATGGGGATGGATCCATTTTAGGAAAACAGGCCTGCATGCCCATCTTCCCTGTGTGTGGGATCCTCTTATGGGATCTTGGGGTGAGGGCTTTCAGGGGCATGCCCAGCTCTGGGGCTGCTAACAGGTTACCCTCACACTCAAATGGCAGGGGAGACCACTTAGGGGTGATCGTCCTTGTGGGATCCTGCAACCTGTCATCCCACGGTTCTCCCCATCCCAGCAGGTGGGCTTGGTGGGACAGGGTACATTGACTGGCAGGTGGGTCAGTTGATGCCAGGATTCAGTGGACCCATGCTATGCCAAAGCTTCTTACAGCTGTAACCAATAAAAGTTGTGGCCATTTTATTCCACAATTTTATTCCAAAACTCTGTGTGTGAGTGTGTTACTGGCTGGTTTCTGTAAAGGGGTCTTCACTGCCTTCTCCAGGTGCTGAGACTGCAAGATACTTTCTGAAAATCCATTCACAAAGCTGTCCCAAATCCTCATGACAATAAGACCTATTTTATCAACTTCCACCATCATAATCTAAAGAAGGTTTGTTGTGTGTATGTCCCGTTAAAAACAATGGGATATGCTTCTCATGAAAAACAAACAAACAAACTGAAGTTCCATTTGTTTTAACAGGACTACAGTGTGATTGGGATCTGTGGATTGGGATCAATAAGTGAACATTCTACCTGAAAAGTCTGTTCTGTATATGTCCTGCAGTTCTTTAGCAGCATCCTCAAACTTACATTTCATAGTTATTCCTTTGTCAAAAGGAAAAAAAAAGAACATCTATCTGATGCGTTCAAAACTCCCAGTAGACTTTGCAATTTGTACACAAGTATAGCACGAAAGCAATTTATTCCATGACTTGTTATCTTGCAGGATTTAATAAACCACTAAGGTGGTGTTTAATAGCACATTTCCACCAAATGTCAGACCTCTGGCTTTGACATCTGTTTTGAGTTAGAACAGCAGCTGTGAGAAGCAGCTGCAGCCACTATGAATTTGCTTTGAGTAGCACACTAAAGGGGCCGCAGATGAGACCTGCAAAGCTCATAAGAAAAGGAAGATTCCTTGAGGATCCAATCATCAGATACTCAGCAGAAATTCTACTGATAAATGTCAAATTGCTTTCAGCACCAATCTTCAGCACTGCATTGAGTGCAGAGATTCTCCCATAATGTCTACCTCTTCAGTGATTCTTAACAGTTTTAAAAGTTATAACAAAAAGAAATTATCAGCTTTTTCTTCATCCAGAGGATCTCTTTACTTAGGCTTGAGACTATACTAAATTGGCCTACATGATGCGTTATGCTTTTCAAAAGAAAGTGCTAAAAATATTGCTGAATAACAAAAGCTTAAATAACTGTAATTTTTATAGGTACATCAATTAGTCATCAATCTATCACCCTTCTTTCAAAGTCTGAACCAATACAATTGGTTTCCCCCCCACAAACTGAAAATTTGTTCAGGAAAACAACCACCCAGCATGCAACATCTAATTTCATTTCATTTTTGCAGTGGGCAACTGCCTGAATAAGAGTTTTGTACAACTCAAATGTTTCTTTGTTGTCTGACCCCCCATTTTTGGAAACTGGTTTGACTGTAGACTGATCCAACTGAGCCAATAAAAGGCATCATTTCACTTATGCATTGCTTTTTATCATTATTAACTAGCTTTGCAATTTCTCTTTAATGGTCTGGTTGGTAGGGTAACTCCATTCTCCGTAATCTGCTCTCCACCCAGAAGGAGATAGTCAGGTGGAGAAAGATGCTTTACCTGGGACAGATATTATACAGAAATACTTATGAAGAAATCCAAAATGAAATAGGATACCTTTCTGCTATCCTCTGTGGGCAAAACCATAGATAATTATTATGCGAGAAAACAGGTAAATCATCTGAAGGAGAGCTCTGGATGCTGTAGTGCAATTTCCATACTCAGCGATGTTCAAGCATCCCTAACAAACTTCCTAGATGTACTCGGTAGTGGGTGATCTTGGGCTAGTGCACTAAACTTTTATGAAGTTTGTTTTGGTAGCTTAGGACTCATCCACATGGTGGCTTGCCACAATCCTGAGCTAGTGCTTCAATACATAATTTGGGACCACAATAAATGCACTGTCATTATGTGTATAGAAAACAAGCTCTGTGAACTATATAAGACACATTGGTCCAAGTTCCTATCAGCTGAGTGAATCAGTGGAGTCAGTTTGTCAGCATGGACATCTGGTCCTTCCCTTCAGAGCCCTCCATGACTTTGCCTTAGTCTATTCTGCCATTTCCTCAACATTCACATTTTCCATAAAGCCTTTGGTTTAACCTCTTACTGCTGGCTTTCTACCTTTCCACATTTCTACCTGGCGTTACCTGGTAAAATTTAAATTATAAAGCTTTCCCAAAGCTCCATATACACTGGTGGCACTGTGTATGCATACTAACTTTCACTCAGGTCCTCAGCTGCAGTTTATTATAAATCAAACTCCATTAACTTGAACAATAATACATCTAAATTTGAGACAGGCAGAGCCTCCTGCTTTCCTGAAAGATTTCCACAATCAAATCTAGAGAATTTTCTTTGTTACCATAGCAAGGCAGCAGAACCACCTCTGTAAATGGTAAATAATAATCAAAGGTTGGAACTACACTGAACGTGTTCAGAGCATCTCCGATACCCAGTTTGACTGACAAATAATCCTTGCCTTTGAAAATGGAGCAATGTGATAGAGATCGAATAGAGATTGAAACAGCATTCCTTTTTACTAGGAAGTATTTGGGAATGCTCACAAAACCCCTTTATGGGTGCGTTCAGATGGCTCTTTAGATCCGCGTGAGGCACAGGTGCCTCATGGATTTAAATGTAATGTCCAGACATCAACATCTGGGAAACATCTGTCTTCCGTGAGCATCTCATTTTGCCGCACCTCGGAGCTGTACTAAAAAGATACTACTTTAAATCTGGAGGTTTTGGTTCCAATGGGCCACTCGCGGACTTTCCCCTGCCTGATCGTTCCAGCGCGCAATTAAAAATGGCACCTGTTCGGGATGGTCTGATGTCAGACCATCCCGAATGGGCACCATTTTTTAAAAAATCTTGATTTTGTGCATGTGCGGATAAACAAGGCCATGATTTCATGCCTATGCACATGTGCAAAAAGGTTTTGTTTTTGTTTTTTTAAAAAAACTGACCGCACGTGCCTCCTTCAGTGGACACTATCTAGACAATCCACAGCGGAAGCAGCGTGCGGTAAGGCGATTCCCCCAGGGGGATGTCTGGTAGTGTGAGGATGGATTAAAACGATCAGGATCAAATTTGAGCCGGCATAATGGTGGGATTAGCTGTCCATCTGAACGCACCCTATGTGAACTATACTTTTTACTACAGAGGTGCAATGGCCTGTGAAAATGTGAAAAGTTTGGTGAGCAGTACTTCAATATATTGTTTCTACATGCTAATTATTGACATTTAGTTTTCTCAAATCCAGTGTCCTGGAAATAAACATGGTTATTACCTTTTTCATAAGTCATCAAAAGATGTTTTTTAATTCTGCATCATACACTCATGAGGAACAGATATTTCTTTCTGTAGTTTTCTCTGTGCTCTTTAAAATGGTCAGCTCTCACATAATGCAACAAAATATTGTGATAGTGGAAAAGCCATTCTGCATATTTGCAATACCAGGTTTGGTATCCCAGGAATTAGTACAAAGCAAATGTCCAATAACAGTAACCTATTTCTGAAATAAATGGTGATTTCACTTTGCATGGATACTAGTATGTGACACCTACATTTTAGGGTTTTTTTTAAATGAAATGTGGTATCATATAAATAATGTAATTATTCAAAATTAAATAGGATGTAAAATAATAGCGAGATATGTTTCTCTTGGGTGATTACATTTTATCAAGTGTTTACCATGATATGCATACAACCCTGAAGGGATTCAGTCACCTGGACCTGATCAAAAATCAGGGGAAGAAAGGTTCTTCACTCAACAGTAAGGTGTTTAATTGTATACCCAATCTGGTACATTAAAGTAAACAGATTCACCCCAAGCAGTGATTTGTGACCTGTGAAAATGCCAAATTAATTGTAAATAAATTATGACAGGACACCATACTTCAGTTTTGACTTTGAAAACAATGGGCAGCTCTTTTAAACTGTTAATTTGTAATCCACGTACTGTGTTGAATCCTGTGTAAAGCTGTTGCCATGGAAAGACTTCTGTGCACAGAAGCATGACTTCCATGCCTCCTCTCTCCACAAATGCAGCCCAGAATGCCCTTGGAAAAAGCTGCTGCTGGGGGAACAGGGACCCCAAGAGCAACATGAGCACAAAGCTGAAGGTCGGCCGCAAGGTGAAAATTGCCCCCCTCCTGTTGTGTATTTTTTTGATGGGATCCATCAAACCATCATACCATCTATCATCAAACTGAGTTATATCTGAGTTATAACTGAACTCAGAATTCTGTGCCACTCCTATTTAGGCATTCATGTTTTAGGTGCCACTCAAGAAAACTTGGTACTCTATTTCGCTACATGTTGTTCTAACATACTGTACCAATTCTGAATTGAGAAGGCATGCAATTTATTTTAAAATTTCTTTATGGGGAAAAAATGTCTTTCCCTTATGGTTTTCAAGAAATAGGTGTCTCACAAAAATACCATTATTTGTTTTACACTCCTCTGGGTCTGCTGTTGTATGTTTTTTAAAAAGATGAAGGTAATGTATGTACTAATTAGAAGAGTTTTCCCCCAAACTGTAGGCTAGGAATAATATCCTCCAAAAACACTAGAAACAGGTAAAAGCAGAACTATGCACTAACTACTTCTTCAGAACTGTGTTTCAATAGAACATTTATCTGAGCGGTCATCCTGGAGACAGGTTTAAAATTAGTCTGCATTAGCATCAGTCAAGACAGAAAATACTGCCTTCTTTAACCCAAGCTTCCCCCCCCCCCCCATGGCAATATAATACAGTATCTGGGCTCAGATATGACCTTTTATTGAGCACGGAAGACTTCTTGGAAATATCATTCAATTACTATCTATGGTCTGCTTTGACAAAGTAGGAAAATGTTAGATACATACATTTTTAAAAGGTTCCCATATCTTAGCATCCAGGCCCCAAACCTTCATCTACTCCAATTAAGTGATCAATCATTTTTTTTTTACCTAAACTTGGTAATGTCAGAGCGGAGAAAAAAATGGTTTATAGATTTTTAAAAAAGGAAAAGACAACTGTGAAAAAAAACACCAGGAAAATTAGGGGACAATATATCTAGCAAGGATATATCTACTCTCCTAGCCAGCAACCTATTTTACATGGGGACCCTTTGGGCAGTTGGTGTCCTCCACTGCAATGAATGAGGAGTTTCACAAGCAGCTTTGAACACACAGAGATCTCTCAGTCAGAGTAACAGGGTGTGTGTGTGTGTGTTTTCTTATTCTGCTTCCACCACAAAGCATTTCTGAGCAAGAATTGTTTGCAGCTAAATTAATGTCTTCATGGATATGAGAGTTTGAAAGATTTCTGCTCCGCTCTCTTCTTTTGTTAGATGGACACCTTTCACCTACACAAATGACTGTGAGAACGATACTGATCTGTAAAGAAGCAACTATAATTTAACTGCCAGTCTTTGCTTCTGAGCCCTCTTGTTTACCTCTTGTACTTGGGAACGAATTGTTGAGCTGTTCCATGACCTCTTCCAACCCTGTGCTTGTGTCCTGGGGAGGGCTGAGCAAATCATCCTCACCTGAAGAAACAATAGAGAGATCCACTGTTTTTATGAAGAAACCACCTGCTGCATAAATAACACTGCTAGTTAGAGTTCTGGGACTGTTAGCCATTCATTTTGGACTTGGGCAAGTTTGAGTTTGCAGAATTGCAGTGTTCCAGCCACAGTATACATAATGTACCTACTAAAGTCATTATTTTAACATAAACCCTCCTGCCTGGCATCAAGAAGAAATTTCAATATATATGCATACCATACACATACACATTGCCTTATCATCTTCTAAATCATCAAGCTACTTCCATTTATGTGAAATAATGTAGGCCTGTGACAGCAGAATAAATTATTTCAGAAGTCTAAAGTGTCTGTACTGAAAAAAACGGTGAAAGTAATTGCTATAAAGAATGAGAGGCTCCTTTATTCCATTACTAGACTAGGTAGTTTGGTTGTGAGCTGCATTTCAGGGGTGATGTGGTTACAGTGGAAATGTGCTTCCTAGCAAAATAGATTAGAGCTGACAAATACTTCAGGTGCATTCGTTTTAATAGTTTTGACAGCTGAACTGCATCAAAGGAAACCTTCAGAAAAATTCACTTGTATCATGCAAAGGTTTGGAGAAAGTTTAATATGGTACAATATACTCATCCCCTTAAGTATGTTCTGTGACCCAGTTGTGATACAATGCATAAAGAGTCCAGTTTTTACAGAGGAGTTTCTTCAGCCATCTCATGTAATTATTGTTCCAACATAAAATGAAGTTTTAGATCAATATACACAATGATGGTACTGTATAAAGAACAAGTGGGAATCCACAAGGACTTGTGGGGGAAATCTTTATTTCCTTCTCTCCCGCCAGTTCCTCTTTCCCTTAATTGAAAGCCCCCATAGTCTCTCTGTTTCCTGCCTCCTTCAGTCCTTCCCATCCGCCAACCAACCTACCTTTATCTCCTCTCCATATTCAGTTTTTCACCATTTCTACCCCTAGAATATCTGCCCAGGAAAACTATAGCCTTGCGTGGGGCTCAGTCAGACCGGGCACCAACATCTGCCACACTCATAGAAACATAGAGCTGGATGGGACTTCAAAGGTCATCTAGTCCAATCCCCTGCACAATTCAGGAAATTCACAACTACCCCCTCCCATTCCTTCAGTGGCCCCTGCTCTATGCCTTTTTGTTGTTGTTCAGTCGCACAGTCGAGTCCGACTCTTTGCGACCCCATGGACCAGATCCCGCCAGGCCTTCCTGTCTTCCGCCGTCCTCTGAAGTTTGCTCAATTTCATGTTTGTTGCATCTATGACACTGTCTAACCATCTCATCCTTTGCCATCCCCGTCTTCTTTGACCTTCAATCTTTCCCAGCATCAGGGTCTTCTCCAGTGAGTGCTCCCTTCTCATTTGGTGGCCAAAGTATTTGAGCTTCAGTTTCATTATCTGGCCTTCTAGGGAACAGTCAGGGTTGATTTCTTTTACAATCAACTGATTTGATCTTCTTGCAGTCCAGGGGACTCTCAAGAGTCTTCTCCAGCACCATAGAGGAAGGCAAAAAAACCTCCAGGATCCCTGGCCCAATCTGGCCAGGAGGAAAATACCTTCCTGACCCCAAAGTGGTGATCAGCATTACCCTGAGCATGTAAGAAAGGGCTAGGACATCCGACAACTGACTCATGCCTTCCTGCCCTCTCATGATCTGCCTAAATTCATAGAATCTGCATTGCTCTCAGATGGTCATCATGGCTCTGCTTAAAAACCTCCAAAGGAGAGCCTGCCATCTCCTGAGGAAGCCTGTTCCACTGAGGAACTGCCCTGTCAGGAATTTCTTCTTAATGTTTAGCCAAAAACTCGTTTGATTTAATTTCAATCCATTGGTTCTGATCCAATCTTACGCGGCAACAGAAAACAACTCTGTGCCATCCTCTATACGTCGGCCTTTCAAATACTTGAAGATGGCTATCATATCACTTCTCAATTGTCTCTTCTCCAGGCTAAACATACCCAGCTCCTTTAACTTTTCCTCATAGGACTTGGATCTCCAGACCCCTCACCATCTTTTTTGCCCTCCTCTGGACATGTTTCATCTTGTCAACTGTGGAGCCCCAAACTGAACACAATACTCCAAGTGAGGTCTAACCAGAGCAGAGTAAAGTGATACCATCAGTTCTGTTGATGCAACTCAAAATTGAATTTGCCTTTTTAGCTACTGCATCACACTGCTGAGACCCTTGGTTTCTTTTCACATGTACTGTTGCCAACAAGTCTGCCCCATCCTATAATTATGCATTTGATTTTTCCTAGCTAAATGCAGAACTTTACATTTATCTGTGTTAAAATTAATTCTGTTACTTTTAGCCCAGTTTCCCAGCCTGTCAAGATCATCCGGTCTTCTACTGCATTTGCTGCCCCTCCCAATTCAGTATCATATGCAGATTTAATGAGCATCCCTCATTAAAGGGCCCAGGACAGATCCCTGAAGGCTCAGCCTAGCTCTGGGTTCTGCTTCGTCTCATGTGGGACTCAGCCTGTGCCTCACTGCACACAGAGTTAAGCTGGGCTCCATCCTCTGCCTCGTACAGGGGTTGGCTGGGTGCCAGCCTCTGCCCTACCTTGTGTGGGGCTTGGCCAGGTGCCACCTTCTGCCTTGCCTTGTACAAAACTTGGCTGGGCACCACCCTCTGCTTTGCCTTGGGCTCGGCTGGATTGGGTCCCAACCTCTGCCTCACTGGGGGCTTGGCTGGGCTGGGTGGCACCCTCTGCCTTGCATGGGGCTTGGCCAATGCTGCCTAGTCTCTTGCGGGACTCAGTTGAGCTGGGTGACACCTTCTGTTATCGCCTCGAGTAGGGCTTGGCTGAGTGCCAGTGTCTGACTCACCTTGCATGGGGGTTGGCCAGGTGCCAGGGTCTGCCTCGCCTTGAGCCGGCTGAGCCAGGCATTGTCCCCTCCCCATCTTGCTCTCACACAGGATCCGGCCAGCCAGGTTCTGTCTCCCCTGCCTTGCTTTAGGCTGGCTGGGCACCACTTCTCCTGCCTTGCATATGGGGCTTGGTTGAGTTGGGATCAGCACTTCAGTGAGAGGGCTGGCTGGTCCAGTTGGGGGTGGGAAGCATCCAGATGCTCTCAACAGCCACTTGCAGGTAAACGTGAGGTAGATTAAGCTGAGAATGTGGAATTGGCCCAAGGTCACCTCATGATTTACCACAGAAGAATGGAAATGAGAGGTTCTAGCCTGAAACTCCAACCACTAACACCACGCTGGTGTTCATGTGAAGGCTGCTGTTGAACTGTGGCAAGCAGCCAGACCTAGGTAAGTCATGCAAGTTTGGTGGAAGCAAGTCACCTGGTGGTTGCTGCCTTTTACTGACAGAAACAGAGCCTGTTGTGGCTGCCTACCAACAGCCATTGAGGTAATCTCTTTCTTAAAACTACAGACACTCCTTTTATCCTTTTGGAGTTTTTTTAACCCTCCAATGTACTTTAAGATTTCAGATTTTTTTCCTGCAAAGATGGGGTGTTTTCCACATCTGTACAAAGATCTGTCTCATCCATTCACAGGTCCAGTCTCCAGATTATCCTCAGAATTGAATGACTTTATTAGAATATACAAGTAGAAACATGCAAGAAACTTACAGGAGGGGCTACCTATCCCCCACCTTTGATTCCTTCCCTCTCCTCCCATTTCTCTCAATGGCTCCATCCTTCTCCCGTCCCCCCTCTCTTACTTTCTGTCCCTCTCCTTCTCCCCATGTGTACTGTCACTCCTCTGCTTCTGCCCCATTACATCGCCCTTTCTCTCTTTCTGTCCCTACCCCATCACTCTTTCGCGTTCTGCCTCTCACCACATCATCCAATTTCTCTCTTTCTGCCTCCCCTAACCCATTACTCTGGCTGCTCCCCTGGCCCGTTTAGAGTGTTGCTTGGCAACTCACCTGGCCTTTTCACTCCAGGCTTGCCTGCCTCCACCACCTCTGCTGCCTCAATTGCTCTGCCAGCTGCTCACCCAGCCTCTTTGGTGGCTCCCTGCCTGCTTGCCTGGTCACCGAGTCTCTTTACTACTGCAGTGGCAGTGACTCGCCTGCCCCCGCCAGCTTTGCCACATCAATGGCAGTGGCTTGGACTTTGGCAACTTCACCACCGTGGACAGAACAGCACTTCACTGAACCTCCTGGCCTCAGCAGCTCACCCGGCCTCTTTGCCACCTCAATGACAGTGGCTACTCCTCCCCCAACTGCTTGCAGCTTTGCTATCTCAGCTGAATGGCAGGTGAAGGAGCTGCACAAAAGCAGACAATACTACTGGTTTGGGGAGAATTAACAATTAATTAATTTTTATGTTTTCAGATTTTTCTGCAAAACTGGAGGTTCCCCTGAGTTTGCACACAGCTATCTGTTATCTGTGTGGGTCCGCTCCATGGATTTAGATATCTGCAGAATAACCCGCACTTGGCTATTAGAATATACAAGTGGGAACCTGCAAGGACTTTTGGGAGACATATCACTTCCCCTTCCCCCACTATTTCCTCTTCCCCTTTCCTGAGAGCCCCATAGTATCTACCCTTTTCCTGCTTCCTTCTAGGGTTGCCAACCTGGAAGTCTTTTGGTATCACAACATAAGCTGCTTTGGCCCACGTAATGTAAGCTGCAGATAAAGGTGGGGTATAAATGAAGTAAATAAATAATAAATAGAGCTGAAGAGGGGAAGCAGATAAAAGGTGAGTTGGTGAATGGCTGAGAAGAGAATGAGAAAGGGGGGAGGATATGGGGGTTTCCAAGGGGTGGGAAAGAGGAAGTAGTGCAGGGAAGCGGATACAGGGGAAAGTGAGGTGCAACATCACAAGTCCTTGAAGGTTCCCTATCATACAAGTAGGCCCAGCCCGATGGCCAGCACTACACAACTGGGCTGCAATTTTCCTAGGTAGAGGCTGCCAGGGGGTAGGGAGGGAGAGATTAAGACAGAGGGGGAGATAATGTAAGTTGGCTATTGGGTGGGAAGGAGATATGTTTACCAACTCCAGGTAGGAAATACCTGGAGATTTGGGGGGTGGAGCCTAGGGAAGGTGGGGTTTGAGGAGGGGAGGGACCTCAAAAGGATAATGCCATAGAGTCCACCCCCCAAGGCAGCCATTTCCTCCATAGGAACTAGGGTTGCTAACCTCCAAGTGGGGGTTGGAGATCACTATAGTCTATACAGCTTTTATAATATTTGCATATGTCTACTGATATTAAAGTATGAGCACACAAAAACCAGTTTGGTGAAGTGGTTGGGAGCACAGACTCTAATCTGGGAGAACCAGGTTTGATTCCCCACTCTTTCACATGCAGCTGCTGGTGTGACCTTGGGTCAGTCTTAAGTTCTTTCAGAACTGTTCTCTCAAGGGCAGTTCTTGATAGAGCTCTCTCAGCCCCACCTACCTCACAGGGTGTCTGTTGTGGGGAGGAGAAGGGAAAGGAGATTGTAAGCCGTTCTGAGACTCCTTCGGGTAGTATAAATCTAATCTCTTCTTCTTCTTCTCTTCAAAAATGTGATGTTTATACAACTAGTCTTATACAAAACCTCTCTGTTTTTTTGGAATGGATCCAACTTTGCTACTGCTCAAAACATTACTGATAAATAGGATATTTGAATGAAAATTGCAAACAATCACGGTCTCAAAAGACTGAGTTTCTTGATCTTACCCATGGATTCTGACGTTTGACTGCCAACTACACGGAGAAGCCTTGGCTGATTACTATCTGACCTCCGTAATGAGGTAGGAGGAGAAGACTGAGCTGTACCATTCACCTTGGAATCTACTTGAGGCTGAAATATTAGAAGAAAATACGATCGTTATCCTACAGATGAAGAAAATAATGACTGCATCACACTGTTTATACTAGGATATTTTCAGTATAAGAATACTGAATCGTATTTGATTCAGTGTGAATCAAAGAAAGTTAACAAAGAGACTGAAATGTATACAGTCATACTGTATTAACTAAAGTCAATTTCAGACTTAAGCCACAAATGGTAATATGGTCAGAAGCTGGCTACTGTTCTGCATGTGCTTTAGTTAATGTGAAATCCTGAGTAGGACAACACTCTTTTCAGTAGCTCAGATGGAAAAAGTTCGAAACTCACCTGTTCCAGCAGCTGCCTCAACCTGTGCAACTGCGATTCCAGCTGTTTGTTGTGATCCTCTAGGATCTGCATTCTGGCTTCTAGGCGGCCTTTGTGCTGACGAAGCAGCTTAGCTTCTGCAATGAGTTCAGCATCTCGGGGACTCTGGGGGGAAATGGGCATCATCTCAGGTGGGGATGGCAGTGGAGACAGTCCTTTGTGATCGTGCTGCTGCTTCAGTCGGTCATATTCTGCCTGCAGGTTTCTATCGAGACAGGATAGAATCAATGTAATAACAGCTTTATCAAAGAATTGTTCCATTTTGAGGCTGACTGGACCCCACAATCACCTGATACCATAGCTATATCTATTAAATTTGAGGGTTCAGGCTACCATAACTGATAACATAATTCTTGAACTGAAAGAGATTTCCTGGTTTAGAGAGACTGGACTTGAAAAATTATTACATTAAATTGCTACTAAATGCTAACCTCACATTTCCAATTTAAAAGGCACATTCCTTCGCTTCCACCAAAATCAATGGCAAACAAGGGCTGTATGATCCAAACCTATGCATTCCAGAAATCCTTCACAGTTCACAAACAGGCGTCTGAGTTTTGGTTTCAGTCTGATGAAATATACAGATAATAACCCAAGCAAAAACTGTTAAGTTTGTCTGTTGCTCAATCAGTGCTCTGGAGTACAAGCATGTCTGTTTTATTACAGAGCCCACAGCCCTACATTACAAGCAATATTTAAGAATTATATAAGGCTTTACATACACATTAGTGAAATCCTATGCAGAGGGACTTCAGTCAGAGACTGTGAAGGTGCTTAGGTTAGAGTAACTGCAAATAGGATTGCACTGTAAAGCACTCTGCAAACATTAACAAACCCAGGAAACATAGCCATAAAAAACCCAGAATTAATTTCATTAACCCAGAAAACATAACATTAAAAAACACAGTATTTTTAAGTACTATAAACAGATCTGGATCACGTATTTTGAGTTTAAGATCCAAAATCCATTGGTCCCCATGTGGCTGACCAGCTTTCTTTTATATACAGAGTTTGGATATGTCAATAGTTGCCTGAAAATGACGTAACTGGCTCAGCAGTGCAAATGAGAAAAACAGAGTACCCTTATGAGAGTGGCTGGTCGCTTGTGTACATAACATTGTTTCTTTTATAGTAGAATAAGACAATAATATTGCGGCACAATAGTGTATTTTGTGAATTTCCAGAAAACCACTGATTTCCAATGCAGCTTATTCCATTTTAACAGCCACCCCTCCCTAGTTGTGCAATGTATTCAAATGGTTGGTGTGTGTGTGTGTGTACAATTCCAACAGAGGCTGACCTGCACTGAGCGGTGGCTGATGTGAAAGGTCATTGGTAAAAAAAGTAACAGGAAAGAAGACATGAGGTGGGCAGTCTATATTCTCTTCAGAACTCTGAGCACATGGTGGATGCTGGAGCTCTGCCCTCAGAGAATAAAAATTCTGTAACAAGGCAACCAACAAAACCAGAGTTCAGCAACCCAGATAAATTATACAAGTTAAACAACTAAAAAGGGCATGGTCTAATTTGTGCCTATGTGACATTTGCAGTGTTTGTTACAATCAAGAAAGTGAAGGACAGAAGATCTCTGGCAAAACAATTCAACTCTTATTCTTGCCTTTGTATCCTTTTTTCCCTGAATACCAAAAGTTTATCTTTTTATATTTTGTAAGTAATGGAAGACATGATTGATTAATTTAACCAATAATAAATGCTTTCATCCAAGGACTAGCTAAGGAAAAGAAGTTTGTACCTAAACAATGAACTTTTGAATATGACTGTCAAAAATCCGTAGAGAAAGAAATACTTTCAGTATATTTCATCAAGTTCTGGAGAGCAATCATAAGCCAGTGTGAGGAAAGAGGAAACATAGTCATGGTGCGGCTTCTATAGCATTGCTTATGTCAGTCAGAATTAGGCTCAGAAAAAAGATCATTTCTTAAAAGCTACAGATGCGGAAGGGTGAGCAAAAGAAAGAGATAAAAGTATAATCCTCTCAAAATGAGCGAGTGAACAGGAACCAGCAGTATTCTGTAATCTTCTGTATAAAACAACTTGGCTAGGTGATTTCATTTTCAGACGAACAGATGTCATTGTATTTTTTAAAAGCTTATACACTTCCAGACCACCACACCTCATGACTTATTGTGAAGAAAAAAACTTTTTTTCTTGAGTAAGGCTGGACTAATGTTCTTTAAAGAACACTTGGATTGGACTTAGAGCTCTGAACAATGTACAGTTGTGGGTCCCAGGGACATGAGGAGGGAACAGGGAAAAAACCTTGACTTTGGAGAATAAAATGGCCACAGCTTTATTGATTACATTACACCATAGGAGTATTGGCGCAGCACAGGGATGGATCCTGAATCAGGCAACCTGTCTACCACCTGATAACCCTGCATCACCACCCTGCCTGCTGGGGTGTTACCAAGAAGTTACAAGCCCCCCCCCCCGGGGAGCCACAGGGGTTCCGGCCACTGCATGGTCCTCTTGCCACCTGGTGGTGAAAGCCGAGCTGGGCCTGCCACTGAAGTTAGCTCTACCCCAAGAACCCTTAAGGGAGTCCCAGAACCACGGGATGTGGGCAGGCAGGCACTACCTCCCTAACCAAAAGGATCTGTCCCATGTGCAAAGTACCCTCCCCCAACTTCCACCAATGTGCCTAAGCCTGTAAGTTAGAAAGCAACCTGTCCCCAATGCCATGGAGCCAAATATCCATGCCCCACTCTGGCAGGTGCACCACATCCAAACTGTATAGGGTACATAGCCAAAAAGTTATATCTGGGTGGCCAACGATGCACCCTCTCAATAATAGCACCACCTGCACTGCTGCCTTGCAAATTTTCCTCCTGGCCACTTGTGGCATTCAAGGAGTGCGGACCAGATTAGGCAGGTAGTAGGCAGCCAGGCGTGGAGAGTTTTTGTGATGGAGTGTGTTGACAGCACCTTTCAGTTCTGGGAGATCATTTACCCCCAATTGTATCACCAAAGTGTCAGGCAGTCCCTGCTATGCTACATAATGCAGGACAATGCATTCCTTGCTATCCCAACCAAGTGATGTTTAGCCAGCTGTCAAGGCTTTTCCACATCTGGACAACACAATGTACCTCCCAGCCAAAAAGATGATGCCATGACCAACGATCCACACAGACTTGTGGTGACCTGTGGAGGCTGATAAATTAGTGACCCGAAGAAGAAGAAGAAGCCCTATATGGTCAGGAGCCTTTCCCCATATGCTCCCCAGAGAGCACTCTGATCTGGCCCTTCCAGGCCCCAAGGAAGCCAGGCTGGCTGTGATGAGGGCCACAGCCTTCTCTGTGGCAGCTCCACACTGGTAGAATAAGCTCCCAGAGGACATCAGGGCCCTGCAGGACCTTTTACAGTTCTGAAGGGCCTGCAAGACAGAGTTCTTCCACCAGGCCTTCGATTAGGGATCCACACTACTTAGAGTGAGGCCCTGGCCTCAACATCAACATCAATAGTAACATCAATATCAATATTATTATACCACCATAGGGCTGCCAAGTGTGGGTGGGGGGCGGGGAAACCCCCGCTTTGAAGGCCCAATTTCCGCCGTGGCGGAATCGGGCCCCGGGAAGGAACTCTGCCCCCCAAGGCTGTGTCGGTGGTTTCCCCCCGACGATCTGGGCCACACTCCCAACGTGAGTGACGTTGCATGTCACTTCTGTCGACGTGCTGGCGGTGCACGCGCGCATCTGGAGCCGGCTCCCGGAGTAAGAGAAGCCTCCCCCGCTGGTGAGTTTGCCAGACTTGGCAACCCTATACCACCAACAGCCTGACACAACCTAGACTATGCTGACTGTATACTGTGACTGCTGCAAACGTCGGCCATTGTTATATTAGTTGTACTAGCACTTTATAACATTATATTTAGGATTGCACTGTTGTGATTTTATTAATCTTCTTGTTTTAGTGTTTTATACAGTTTTGTAAGCCGCCCTGAGACTGCTTTGCAGGGAGGGCGGGATATAAGTCAAATAAAGAAGATAAATCCAAGAATGTGGGGGAGGCACCAGAATTTCCCATTCCCCCTTCCTCCCAGGAGGGCTGGGAGGATGCGGCTCTTGGCTATATAGGGGAGGGGCGCCCCCTCCCAGTCCCACCTGAGGATGTGTACCCACATAGGGTCCTGGCAGTCCTTGCTGTAGACCCTGCCCCCCAGGCTGGCCATGTGGCCTGGGGGAGATGCCAGCCACATAGTTGCCTCACCAGTTGCCCCAGAGCCCCAGGACCACAAAAAGCATTGTGGGATAAATCCCGGTAGCATCTTCTCAAAATTCATTCATGAGTAACATTAAGAAGGATGTCTATTAGCCAGTGGTAGGAGACACAATACAAGCCAAAGTTCTGTTTATGTTTCCTTGCAAGTATCTTCCTTCTACATATTTAATTGCTCTGTGAGTCCTTGACAACAATGTGGCTGAACAAATCCACAAACACATTCAGATTTCCAAGATGTCCACGTGGTAGCAGTATCTGATATCTGTATAACAGCTTGACTCTTCATTTTTCACAGTCCCAGATAGCTAATGGAAACAAGACGTTTATCATGCCCTTTTTTTGGGGGGGGGGGGCAGAAACTGGTTTAGTTACAGGCATTGTTGCTTTTATATTCCACAGAACCCCTCAAGGAAGCTTAATGTGAGACACACAGGGGTTATTAATAATAATTTCCTTTCCACCGCATCATATTTTTTTTTTGTCTCTTTGCTCCAATTGGTGCGGCCCTTCATTTGAGTCCCGTAGCACCTTAAAGACCAACAAGATTTCCAGAGTATAAGCTTTTGAGAGTCAACACTCCCTTAATCATATATATATGGTGATTCACACATTCTGAAAGCTTGATTTATAGAGATAATTTGTATTTTAAGCTATTTTATGGCATTCATATTCTCTGACTTTTTTTTGTAAATTGATTTACACGGAGCCCAGACTTTTAAAACAATTCTAGCTTACATTGGGCATTTTCAATATACTGCACTGTGATCTAAAATCTCAGAGCTTTCCTGTATTTCTCTGCCTCAGTATCTCAGTTCTTCACTGTATTTCAAATCTCATCTAAACAGGCCATTTCTCCACAGATTGTTCCCCTTCATTACGCACGCTGCTGTTTATTATTATTTATATAGCATTCTGGGAGGCAGTTTATATGAAAGCCGCTCCTACCAAGTATCATTCTTTAAATTACTCTATTTCATTAAATGATGGCAATGATGGTGCAGAAGGCAGCAATTGTGCAGCTCCTGGCAGTAATTTCATCATTAACTTTTATTCATCATGTTACAATAGCGACTGAAGGCTAGGATGAAATTGGGGAACTATTGCTCTAGGGTGTGAATACAATATTTTAAACTTTGCACATCAGGTATAACAGAGTGATTCCACACAGCAGTGCAATTTAAAGGCAAGATACAGTGAGTTTATTACAAGATCATCCCGAGGCTGTGCACTGGCAATTCCTATTCTTATTCTGAAGAATAAATGTGCCCCTTTTGCCTGGTGGTAAAGCAGTGTTACAATAGAGCACTGGTTTTCCAAGCACTTGTGAACATACTATAATCTTACATGTATATGGATATTTATATGTGGCAGAATCAGTCTGAGAAAAGGAACGTCATGAGCCAATGAACTGTATTTCAAACCTGAGAAGCAACTGTTTCATTTTGCTTTGATTTTTATTAAATAGCTCGGCTATATGGCATTTTGGATTCCTCTGTTCAACATATTTAAGCAACAGTCCTGCTATGGCTACAGAGGCATAGTTTGTGTCACTGTTGCACTCACAGGAATTCTGTCATACTGCTAATTAAAAAAAAAAAAGATTGCTGATACACAATTCTGGTGCAAATGGACATCCCAGTTCCTTCTTTTATGTTTGGGTAGTAATAGAATGCTTGGAGAAAGAGAGGAGGACAAGGAGGGTGATAAGCAAAGTCTTGACTGCTGCCATGCAAATCTTCTGAAACCAAGCAGGCATACGTATTATTTACACATTTATTTATTTATATCCTGCTTTTCTCCCAAGCTGGGACTCAAAGCAGCTTTAGAACATCGTTCTCCTCTCCTCCATTCTTTCACAACAACCCTGTGAGTTAGGTCAGGCTGAGAGCTTATGATGAACCTAGCATCACCCAGCAAACTTCCATAGTAGGAGTGAGTATTTGAACCCAGGTTGCCCAGAGTCCTAGACCATCACTGTTCCCTACAAACACTGCACTGACTCTCAGGCAAATACATCTGGCCTGAAATATACAAAAAAGTCAAGCTTCACCCATAAATATTAAGAAATATGAAGAAGCTGTTTGATGTTGCAAGGGCTGAAGAAACATCAAGTAGTAAGAAAATAAACCAAAACAGACAACTATAATGAATGAGAAACAGGTATAGTTCATGAGTATCTGGGCTTCATTTATTCCTTTATGAAAGGTAAAGATTTACTTATGCATGCAGCACACTATCGAATTCTCTTCCTATACCTTTCTATAGCTAAGGAAGATAGATGTGTTTGAGCACAGGGTTGCAGATAGAAAGAACAGAAATGACAAAATTACTGATTAAGCCAAAAATAAGTTACAAGTGACAGAGTGGTTTTGCACAGCAGTTAGTTTAAAGGCAGGATACAGTGAGTGTATTGCATACAAGCTCATCCCTGTTTTTTTTTAAAGTTCTTAATTCTAATTCAATTCTTAACTCTTGCTTAATTTATAAGCATTTAAATTTCTAGCAAAGCAAGAAGATAACATGGTGCAACACTATACATCAGTTAGCAGTTCTTTACTTTCATAAATAAAAAACCCTGTGTATGTGAAACTGTAAGGCAACAAATATTCCAACTCTTTTGCTCCTTGAATTATTACCTTGTGTATGTTTAATACATTGTGTTAATTTGGTCCCCTTAAGAGGGAGACCTCAACTCCTAAGGGTTCCTGTCACATGGAATGCATGGAAGTAGCATCAAAGTAAAACCCACCTGTTTTCTTCCTCCAGGTCTGCTAGGATTCTCTCTAGCTCACCTCTTTCTTCACTTTCCAAAGAAATCAGAATCTGTGCAGGGCTTCTAGGCTGACTGAGTGGGGATTCCTGGTTCAAGCTTTGGCAGTAGTGCTGGATTAATAAATGCTCATCATCTCTAAGAAAAAAGGAGGGTAGGGAAAAGAAATACCAAGTTTTTCCTTTATTTATTTTCTTCATTGATAATTTGCCTTTTTTCACTGAGATGAAAAGGAAGACACAGAACAAATGAGATAATATATGCCTCCCCCAAACTACCCTGAGATGCTGGGAACAGCATAATTCCTAGCTGTGGCTTGGCTGGAACTTGATTATAAGCAGTTTGACTTATGAGTGGACAGTTCATTTTCTTCATTAATAAGCCACTGATTTAATTATTTAGTTCATTTATACCATTCCTTTCTCCCTAATGGTTACCCAGAGGAGCTACAATTGTTCTCTTCTATCCTCAAAACAAGGGGTAGGTGAGGCTAAGAGTGTGTGACGGGGCCAAGGTCACTTAGCAAGCTTCTGCCAGATCCATGTTCAACACTCTAAGCAACACACCATACTGTTTTAGTACCTGCTGATAAAAATGTTCTGGAGCCTTAACTAATGGAGTGACTGCAGAAGAAAAGAGTTTCATCAGCAAAGTAGTCTGTTGTTCCAAGCAGAATATAATGTAATAAGATGCGATCATCTGTACAGGTATGTTTATTCTCACCCTTTCAATGCCTTTAATCAACATCCTCTCCATCTTCATTTCAACACTGCCATCTTTTCCCTTCTGGATAGAGTATCATCTAGATATCTTCTTCCTATTGTCCATCTTTAGCTGCCTCATTGCTCTGCTGACTAACTCACTTCACTGAACTTACTGTATTACTGAACCATTTCTCAAGTCATGCCTGATACAAGAGGACATGCTCAGTTGACATGGCTTCTACATATTTACTAAATGTTAAATAGGCAGAAACTCAGCTAGTCACTATCATGCTAAAAAATTTTCTTGTTGCATTTTTGTCAAATATCTGACTCTAATAGATGACTATTGTACAACCAAAATATAAAAATGTATCATGGAATTCATAAAGCTCTACTGTGTCCACAAACATGTTAGACTGGTATAAATACAAGTGTGGAATCCGCACAGACTTGTAAGGGGCACCTCATCTCCCCCTGTATCCCCTTTCCCACACTATTTCCTCTTTCTTTCCTCCTGGCAGCTTCCATATGCTCTACCCTTTCCCTGCTTCCTTCCCACTCACCAACCAACTGTTAATTATCTGCCACGTAATTCTTCATCTTTTTTATTATTTACTTCATTTATGCCCCACATTACTCCCTAATGGGAACCCAAAGCAGCTTACATTATTCATCTCTTTTTTATCATCACAACAACCCTGTAAGGTAGGTCAGGCAGAGAGAGTAACTCACCCCAATTCACACAGCAAGCATCAATGGGAGACTGGGTTTTTTGAACCTGGATCTCCCAGACCCTAGTCTGACCAATACACAACACTGGCTCTCAGCTTCTTCCCTCCCCCAGCACCCTCTCCCTCAGAAGAGTCTGGCCAAGCTGCAAAAATCGTGTGGTAGCAAGTTCCTCGGGTTAGTTTTGCGGTGGCCACTACTGGGCCCACCCAAGTCATGCAAGTTGGTTAAAAGGCTGCTGCTGGGCTCAGCTGAATCACGTGGCATCAAGCTGTAGCCACTACTGTGCCTGGGTGAATTACGCAGACTGCATGATAGGAAGTTGCCTGGTAGTTGTTCCTAGTCCTGGTTCCAGTGAGTCATTCCTCTAGGGCAGCAGGGAGGAGAGGAGAGGTAGACTGGGAGGTCATAACAGCCCTGGAAAGGGCCCCTGCCTCCTCCCCCTGCATTTTACTGAGAGAAACCAAGATTTGATGACTGGTAAAATAGTTGTCGTTTCCTACCAACCCCTACAATGCAATCTTTATGGTACAGAGCAGGCAGTGCTTCTATTATTGGGGGGGGGGGGTTGCTGACACCCCAATGTATAATTTTAAAGATTTCTCCAAACCTGAGCCTTTTCTCAGGTTTGTAAAAGATGTGTCTTGCCTGTTCACGGTTCCAGTCTCTAGATTTAAGTATCCACTGATGAGGCCATTGTGAGAATTCGATATATTGATACAATACACACACAGAGTACAAGTTTATACTTGGTTTGTTATTTTGGCCATCAAGTTGCAGCTGACATATGGCAACACTGTAGGTTTTTCAAGGCAAGAGACATTCAGAGGTGGTTTGCCATTGCCTGCCTCTGTGTAGCAACCCTGGACTTCCTTTGCGGTCTCCCATCCAAATACTGACCAGGGTTGATGCTGCTTAGCTTCCAAGATCTGACAAGATCAGGCTAGCCTGGGCTATCCATGTCAGGGTATCTTTGATATAAAGAGCACTAAACAGAAAAAATTGCAAAGTGAGTCACTTTTCATGGGTTTTGTGTTTGGACATATTGTCATTAAAAGCATGTTTCTTCATGTTTTTAGACATAAACAGGGACTTTGAGCACTCCTGTATCTTGAAATGAAGATTGGAAAAGCAGTAATAGGTTTCTAACACCTATACTAGAACCTATCACACTGTGTTTCCCAGCACAACTTTATGATGAAGGATAAAGCATAATTAATAAACTGTCTTGGATTAAAGGCAATAATACTTTTTCTCTCTCCCACCATTTGCATTAATTGTGTTAATGCAGCACTGCACATAATACTAAAAAGTTGCACACCTTTTGTTTAAAAGTGTCTGGAAATTTTACATTGGCTATTTTAAAACAGTATACTAATAAAGACTGAAATTGTTGAAACAGAAAACAGACACATCTCTCTCGTAACTTACACAACTGGCCACTGAGCTCTCACATCTACAGGAATATTTCAAACAGCAAAACATAAGGAGAAGGGAAGGGAGGAGTTGGAGAGGCTAAGTGTACAGCAACTTACATTAATCAGCCAGGAACCTAGTCATACGATTGCCTAAGGAATTACTAACTACCTCTGGAAAATTCAAATGTATACATTGCTTTCAAAATTCAACATGTGGTACAAGTCAGTGCCTGTAGATATTAATTGTGGTTTCACCTGACGCATTAGTGTGAACCCAGTTTAATCCTGGCTTGCTCCCTGACTTGCCAGGCTGTCTTCCACACACAGACAGACTTGGGTGGCTTCCCAAAACAATGCAGCCAGTTCCATGTGGCAAATTTCCCTGCAGGTTCCTTGCCCCATCATGCCACCCCCATTCCACCTTTTTAACAAAATGAATGTACACATATACGGCGAAAGGCATAGCTCTGCAACAAAAAGGGCTAGAGACTTCTTTTTTAAACAATACACAGATTGTTATAACGTTACAACAATATAACAAGTTTACTGGGGGGTAATGTTATGCTGGGACAGGAGCAGGGAAAATGGCTGCCATAATGGGCAGTCCTAGGAAAACCTTAACTTTCCTACCCATGCTATAGGTCTTTGCAGGGGAGGTGGAGAAAGAGCAAATGCAATAAAACTAGCATCTGCCAATTGAAATCAAAATTTGAATGATTGCCTGTGATCCAAATTCTGGTTTCACAAACTAATCGTTACACTAAGCCATGGTTTCTTGTTGTATGTGAAACATGGTTTCACAATCTGTCTGTTCTTTGTTAGCAGGGATTTTAATTCAGCTCCAGGAGTGTTTGCCTGTGCAACATGTCATGAATAGACAAAAGTTATTTTCAGACGTGCTGATCCAAAAGCAAAATCCAAAACAAAAACACAGACCAGATAATACCTTTTACTAGGACTAACTTTTTTGTGTCATTTTCATTGGTCCTAATAAAAGGTATTGCATGGATTTTGAATGAATTGGCTGCTTGTGGCAAAAAGCAATTAGTTTCCTCAAAATGTGTAGGTGCTTATTTTCAATTTCTTTTCGATGTATAAATTGCACTGAAAATTAAATAGCTGTTATCGTCGTCATCATCATCATAAATCATCATAATCTATTCTAAGAGCAAAACTGGCCAGATCTGAGGATACTTAAATCCAGTGATTGGATATGAATGGACAATGCAGATCTTTATACAAATCTGAAAAACATCCCAGGTTTGAAGAAAAATCTGGAAAAATCCTTTGGGGGTTTAAAAAAACCCCAAATAATAAAAGGAATGCCTGTAGCTTTAAAAAACAAAACAGAAGCCCTCAGTGGCAGTTGCTACGCAAACTGAACATTTTTGATTTCTGCCAGCAAAAGTCAGGGAAAGGGGCCCTTTTTGGGTTTGTTTTGATCTTTGAAGCAGGACTCACTGGTGTTAGGCTTGGCAGCAACCATTCAGTGGCTTGATACCACCCAACTTGCATAACTCACATAGGCCTGGCTGCTTGCTGTTGTTCAACAGCAGCCATATTATGAAAGCCCGTGTTGTGTAGTTGTTAGAACTTCAGATTAGGGTCTGGGTGACCCAGATTCAAATCACCAGTCTACCATGGAAGTTCACTGGATGATGCTGTGCCAGCCACATACTCTCAACCTAACCTACCTCACAGAGATGATGTAAGAGGCTTTGATCCCCACTGAGGAGAAAGACAGGGTACAAATTAAGTAAATGATAAATACAGCTGAAGATGGAAAGCAGATAAAAGATAGGTTGGTGCATGGCTGAAAAGGAGAGAATGAGGAAGGGAAAGGGGAGAGGATTGGGGGTTGCCATGAGATGGGAAAGAGGAAACAGTGCAGAGGGGTATACAGGGAAAAGTGAGGTGCCCCCCTGCAAGTCCTTGCAGGTTCCCTTACCATGCAAGTGGGCCTGGCCCAGCGGTTGGCACCACACAACTGAGTCACTGTTTTCCCAGGCAGAGGCTGTGGTGGGGAGGGAAAGCAGAAAACAAGGAGGGCAGATAAAGATAAACTGGCTGTTGGGTGGGAAGAGAGAAAGAAGCAGGAAAAGGGAAGTGGCTCTGGGGGCTTTCAGGGAAGGGATAGAGATAATAGGGCAGGAGGCAAATCTTTCCACAAGTCCTTTTGGTCCCCCACTTCTACTTTATATTTTTGAAATGCTGCTTCTCGAGAAAAATTAGAAGATGTGATGGACCTAATCTCTGGCCCCAGCTCCTGCTAACTTAGCAGTTCGAAAGCAAGAAACTGCAAGTAGATAAACAGGTACCACTTTGGTGGGAAGTTAACAGCATTCCGTGTGCCTCGGCGTTTAGTCATGCCGGCCACATGACCATGGAAACGTCTTCGGACAATGCTCGGCTCAGAAACAGAGATGAACACCACCCCCTAGAGTCGGATTCAACTAGCTTTCGAGCAAGGGAAACCTTTACCTTGACTTAGATTTTAGATCAGATTTTAGATTCACAGCCTATGTCTATGTCAGAAAAGCTGACCTGCACTGTAAAAAAGTTTCACTGCCAAAGTAACACCCAAGTTGTATCACAGTTCATATGGTTGCTAATGTGTGTCAACAGACATTGGATATTAACTAAAAAAAAAAATCCAAACCAAAGTACTGCTATTCTTTTAACATATTTGGTCTCGAATGCAGCTGATTTTTTGTGTAGTTCTATTTTTTTTTTTCATTTTTACGGTGCTAATATGGATCTGTAAACCTCCTTGAGCCCCCTGGAACAGTGGAATATAAATATCTTAAATGAATATTTAATCTGTAATTTCTGAAGATGATTGTAATAGTGGCATTTTTGTGTCCTTTTCTTACAAGCACAATGCAAAAGGACAGGAAGGGTCATT